GGTGGAGTCAAGTTCTACGCTTTGGATCATCAGGACTTCATAGCCTTATATAGAGTAGGAGTATGACCCCTTACCCCAGTCTAAGGTAACCTCATGGATCATTCAATATCCTAGGTCCATCTTGGCAGAGTCAAACTCTACGCTCTAGATCATCAGGATTCTTCTCTTAGGTCCATCACGGTGGAGTCAAACTTTATACTCTAGATCATCAGAACTTCTTGGACCTCCTCACCATAGGGCCGCGTTTCCCCCTATCATAATGCAGGGTATATCTCACGGATGCAATACATGTCAATGCACGTGCCACTTTAAATTCATTTCAATCAATACTCACACACCTGCATGCATATACTTTCACAATGCTAAAACTCTATCAGTTCACAATATAATGCACATAGTTTTATCAAAATACTTATAAATAATTTTACAAAAAAATAAGTAAAAGGGTTTCCAGTTACCTTTAATCCTTGCTATTAAGGGTTACCAATCACACTAAGTTTTCAAGGGCGTAGATTCTCACAAGCAATTTTATAAGTGCTCAATCTATATAACACAGTACCTCTTAATCAATTCTTAACACATTTCATAGGCATTGATTTGACTAAACTGAATCCCTTAATGCATAAAACAACTTAATTGAACCCTTTTCAATTCACTTATCCATTATTTATGGTCACTAGCCCTATAGGCTACTCAAACAACCATAACAACCTTCTAATCCATTCATTTACCCAAATTCTTACTATTAACCTAACTTTTAGGCCATTTTGAGCCTAAATACTCAAAACTCAACCATTTATCTCCATACTAGTCACAAAACCTTAGTTTTGTATTTGATATCCTGTTTTAACCCTTTTTTTTTATATTACAATACCTTAGAATCCCACGATTCAATTTCTCAACTAATGAAATTCAATGAAAAAGGGATAGAATTGAAGCTTGAGATTATGCAATACTTACCCAGCAAGTTACTAATCAAAGTAGACTCTCGAGCTCCAACTATGGCTTGCCTTAGGAGAGATGGCTTCCTCTTCCTCTCCAAATGTGTCTCCAGCTCTCCCTTTTCTTATTTCACGAGCTATTCACATCAGTTTTAAGTGATTCATAGACGGCGTGCCACGGCGTGTGGTACAGTGAGAAAATTCTCACTTGTTCTCACGTGTTATGCCTCAGATTATCTTTCTATCTTTTAATCCTATAATTACAACATCTAAACAACACAAATTATCAACTCAACATTCAAATCACAATTAATCCCCTAATTAGCAACTAGTTCCTGAGATTGAAACTTAGGATGTTATAATCCTCATTAACATTGTCAAATACATGCATTGAACTCTCATTTTTGCACTTGTAAATTGCCCAATGCCGACTTTGTATGAATTTGGACCTACCCATTAGGTTTATTAACTCTCTCTAGTCCCCAATAACATTAATAAGCCAATAAATTTCCATTATTAGCATCATACTCTTCCAACAACCTTCATTAATGTCATTTTTGCATATTTATGAAGCCTAACAACCAAAGATACCAAAATTCATTATACCTAATTTTAGATACACTAATATACTCTCATTAACTCTATTTGAGTCAATGAATTCGGACCCATAACCTATATAGACTGAAAATCATCTTCTATCATCAAACCCTAACTATAAACTCATAAATGTGGAAGAGATAGGGAGATTAATGAGTATGATACTTACCTTTAGTGTGTGTAGCTTCCAAAATACTCCCAATGTCCCAAGAACACACCCTAGTAAAGCTTGGCATGCCTTCTTTGTTTTCTCCTTTCTCTTCTTTCTGTTTCTATCATAATTCATGACTAATATGCTGTAAAAAATGGTTGTGTGCCGTCGCGCATGGCACAGAGAAGCCCTCTTTTCTCATCAGTTGCATCTATGTGCCATGGCAGATGTGATTCATGCCACAACGTGTGGTTATCAACACTAAATCTTTATTTTCTTCTCCTTTCGATGCTCAGGTAGCTCAACTTGATACCAGACCCACAATTAGGGTTAAAACACAATCGAATATGATTACTAGACCTTCCTGGACACATACCACTTCAACTTACTTAATTATCCCAATTAAGCTTAGTAAATTAGGGAATTAAAAATTGGAATGTTACACTTTCCTTCAACATCTTTTACGTTTTTCATCTCAGTATGTGTTTCCTTCTACCCATATAAGATTAAAACTCTCCTTTGTCTCTTGTTCATACTCATACCGGTATCAAGCCCTTCATTGCAATATAAACTTGAAGTTTTTTGCTTTGTTTTTCGCATGCCAAAATAAAGTATCCTTCATTCATTCATATCTCATTCAAACCTTTATCTTTTCAATTCCTTTCAATTGTGTTCATTATTTTATCTTCTTATAATCTCTTAAAACATAACTATTGGTTTGAATCATCTTGATCTTTTCTCATACCCATATCTGAATCATTCTACTGATAGCCATCTTTTCTATTTTTTGTCAAAGTATACAATGCTTTTAATCGTTACTTTTCTTAAGGCACCAACAACAAGCAAAACTCATTGAAAAACACTGTCTTATTGCCTCAAAATGTGCAAATCACATAACAATGAAAAACAAAGACTCTAATGGCTAATTTATGAGTCTAACAGATTTATTTCAAGAATCAACTATAAATACAATTCATTTATGAAGTGAAAAAAAAAATAGAAACTGATTGAGCTAACTACATGCTTTCATTTTCAAACAAAATTTTTGATATTACATTTATTATTCTAGAGCTTCATTGATTGTACATTTAATCTAAGAGAGAGTTTTATTACATTAGTAATTCATTATTGAATTCACTCTGTTCATCTCTATATCTCATACTTGAAACATAATAACTTAAGTTTGGGAAGGTTAAAGGGATTTGTAATTATCTTTATAAGGGAAAGAATTTCAGACTTACTAGAAGTCTATGCTGTACTATAGCAACCAAGAGCTAGATTTAATTTCGGTGGATATGGTAAGAAATCTCAAGGGTGCCTTGGAGACTAGACATAGACTCTAGTGGATAGAGCTAAACCAGTATAAATTATTGGTGTAAAGCTTCTCTTCCCTTAACTTAGCTTTATTTGGTAATATCGTTTCTTACTTATCTTTATTTCTGCATTACTTGCTTTAAATTTTAAGTAAGCTAATTCTCCCCATTGTGGACGGTTTTTACAATGATTTGGATGGAATAGGATAAATATTCAAGTTTTATGCACAAGTTTAATCAATACACACATAAAATGTAAATTTAAAAAGTATTTGGCATACATAGAATAATCTTAATTAATATTTTAAGTAAATTAAATAAAAATTCGTTATTAATGCAAATGCTCAATTTTTATAATAATTAATATGTTTTTTGAAATGATATAGCTGAAAGAAAAAAATGGAATACATAATAACTAATATACGTCCAAAAAGTATGTAAATATAAATAATTGTATCATTTTTTTATTAATGAAAAGTTAATTTTAATTAACAAAAATATTTTAATAAATTAATAATATATATTTTATAATGCACCAGAAGAACTATGTGCGCGTTTTTTCCCTATGTCTTTTACGTAATGTTTTTTGCGATCAAGCAAGGAGCCAGGGGCATGTTTGCCAAATGCGAGGAGACGGGGGAGTCAAGGAGGAAGCTGATGAGATGGAGTCGTCCTCATTCGGTGCTCGGTTTGTGATTAGCAACACGTGCTCATGTGCCTCAGTCTGAGTCTTTTTTACTTTGAAATGATTTCTTCTGTTCATTTAAATTAATTTTAAAGTATTTTTAAATATTATATTTATTAATATAAAAATTATAAAAAATTAATATTTAATATGAATTATCTAGAATATATTTAAATGATTAATTTCTAAAATTTTAAATTTTAAATATTAAATTAAATTATTTACATTATATATAAAATATCCTGTGTTCATTTAAATAGTCAAATTATAAAACTATAAAAAAATTTAATTTTAAATTTAATCATTTAAATTAAATTTGTACTGACTAAATTTTTTATATTTTGTATAATTTTTAACTTTAATAAATGTAAAATAACAATAATAAGTTTTAAATTTAAAAGATTCAAGTCTCGTGAGACGTGATGAACACTACGATACTCATTATCTGATAAGTACAGAAGATGATTCATATTTGATATCAAATTTTTTTATAATTTTTCTATTAATAAATACAATATTTAAAAATTAATTTAAATCAACACATAAATCATTTTAAAATAAAATGAAAGACTTAAATTGAGCCACGTATATGAGCACGCGGTATACCGAACGCGTTCGCCGAGATGGACGCTTAAGCTGCAAAGCATATGATACACTCTCACAAAAGCGTGGAGACGTAGGCCACTCCTGACTTTGGGTCGCTCATTGAATCGGCTATGATAAAAATCCTCTGAATTTCACTGTCTAAAGTTTTGTGAATTTGAAATCAAATTAACCGTTGACTAACAAATTTTTAGACCAAAATACAATTTTAATCAATTATTATTTTAAATATTTAATATCTATTAATTTTCTTATAGGGTATGTATTTAAAATTTTATTAATAATTTACTGGAAATTTTTTAGGTTATTTTTTGTTATTTTTTCAATAAAATAATTTTCAAAATAAAATTTTTTAACCATAAGATACTCAACACATTATTTTTAAAAGTTGAAGAAGAAAATTATATTATATCAGTTGCTTTCACTCAAATAATTGAAAGGCAAAAGTGTCTTCTAAAACTATATTTTGTTAGAGTCATTGAGTGGTTTGAGTGCAAATATTAATTGATAACCCACAAAAAAGATATTATCTAATTCTTCTTTCATGATAATTTTATGCTATTTGATTTAATCAAACGGTCAACATTAATTCAAATTCACAGAACTCTAGACAATCAACTTTAGAGGATTTTGATCAAGCAAATCATCTACATTGTCCTCTATTATTATTAATGCGTCGCTTTCATTTAATTACAAGGGAACGCAACAAACGAAGTAACTAACAGTCTTCCAAGTAACGAGATGGAGGAGACTCAGACAGAGACGAGGACTCTGCTAATTGGCACGAAGGAACTGGTAGCCGACGGCGGCGACTACGCTCCGGTGAGAAGTTATGAGGCGTTGAAGCACGTAATTTGGATTGAGAGCGTCAAAATATGGAAGATTGCTGCTCCCATTATTATCAACATCCTCTGTGTGTTCAGCATCAACTCCGTCACCTCCATCTTCGCCGGCCACCTCGGCAACCTCGAGCTTTCCGCCGTCGCCATCTCCCTCTCCGTCATAGCCACCTTCGCTTTCGGCTTCATGGTTCGCACATTCATTATTTATTTTCCTTGCTTTTTATTTATTTATTTATTGGCCGAAATTTCCTTGCATTTTCGCTGTTTATCTACTCTTTTATTTCTTCGTCTCACATGTACATGATAACTGAAACTTCAACTCTGAACCTAACAAGAATGTATAGATGAATTCATGCACAGCGATTAATTTTTATGTTTTCGTACTTTATTGTCTTTGGCATCAGTTATATATGTGTTAACTCGTAATGTTCATTGCCATTTCATTTCAAAGGCTTATTAAGTGTTCAAGTTGTCGTTGGCACCAAAACAAACAAACAAAAACAAAGTAATTGAGTTGAGCTGTCTCCCAATTCCCAAATACGTAGAATATATTGTGATCAGCGCAAACCTAAAGAAAAATACTTATAAACTTTACTTGTAAAATGTGAGACTTATGGTAATACTATCCTGTTTGAGAAACAGCATCCTTTGCGCTTTACTCGGTTTCTTACTAATTGTAAAACTCCATGGGTAGCTTTTTTTTTTTTTTGTAACATTGTACTCTTAATAAAAATACCAATGTTATGAATACAAGCTTAAAAAAGAAAAATTCATTCAAAAAACCAACCTATTAAGAGAAAAAGCCCTTTACATTCATAAACCTTATTTTACTTGTGAGGTTCCCAATTTGAGACTTATGACATATTTCTTCTCACAAAAGGGGGATAAGAAAGACTTGCTGGTTATTTTTTTAATTTGGCAAATGTGGAAACCTTTGCAGGCACAGCTCAAACACTGTGATGTGAGCATCACAGTTTGGTGCCAACTGCCAAGGGAACCAAATGTTCTTGGCAGTTTATTCGGCTTCGAATATTGAGAAATATATATAGAAAGCATTACGTTGGACAGTCAATTTGAAAGAAGCTTATATTTACAGATCAGGTTGTTAATTGCGTTTATATATTTTTCTTTACATTAAACTTGTAGTTTGGCATGGGAAGTGCATTGGAAACACTGTGTGGGCAAGCGTTTGGAGCAGGGCAGGTACACATGCTGGGAGTGTACACACAACGCTCATGCATAATCCTATTTACATCTTGCATCATTCTCTCCCCAATTTACATCTTCGCTTCTCCAATTCTAAAGCTTCTCGGCCAAGAAGATGAAATCGCCGATCTCGCCGGCGAGTTCACACTTCTTACAATGCCATATCTTTTCTCTCTTGCCTTCACTTTTCCCACCCAGAAGTTCCTCCAAGCTCAGAGCAAGGTCTATGTACTGACATGCATTGGGTTAGTAGCTTTGGTCTTTCACGTTCTGTTGCTCTGGCTCTTCATTTACCTGCTGGATTGGGGAATCACTGGGCTCGCTGTCGCATTCGATATCTCGAATTGGTTAATTGCTTTGTCTCAGATTGTTTATGTTGTGGGATGGTGTAAGGAAGGGTGGCATGGATTCTCAATGTTGGCTTTTAAGGATATTTGGGCTTTTGTGAGGTTGTCTCTTTCATCTGCTGTCATGCTTTGCCTTGAGATTTGGTATTTGATGGCCCTCACTGTTCTTACTGGTCACCTTGAGAATGCAGTTATTGCTGTTGATTCCCTTTCTATTTGGTAAGATTCACTATCGGTACTTGTGATTTTCTCTAAATATTGTTATATATATGCATTGTATGCTAATATGGCAAGTTGCTTTGCATGACACACATTCTTGGTTGTGTCCATTTATACCTGATATCTTTTAGTACACTAGTGTTGACTTGTTTCTTACAACACGATGTGTCTCAGCATGTACTTCAATGGGTGGGAGGCTATGATATTTATTGGACTCAATGCAGCAATCAGGTATGAATCCACTAGCCTGTACTCTGTTCCATTTCACGACAACTTTTTCATGGTATTACGATCCCATGGTGTCAAAACCGCACCCACATGAAATCGGATATGTATACGTATGTTTTATTACACTCATAATAAGCATTAAATGGGGTTAGGGGTTTTTTGTTCAAAAAAAAAAATGGAGTTAGGGGTTTCTAACCATGTTCAAAGTATCCTTTTTTAATACCCTTTGAATGTCTCAATTTTTTAATTTTGTTTTTCTTTTTTCTTTGAATTATTATCTTTTATATAAAATAAGAGATATTTTGATATCTTGAAATATTAAGATGGTGAAATTTTGTATTTTTTAAATAATTCTTTAAAGAAAAAAATCACACCTGCCCACTTTTATTTTTGAAAAATTGTAAAAAATATAAAATTTTACCTTTTTGGGCCTTTAAGATATCAAAGTGTCTTTTATTTTATATAGAAACCAATGATACAAATAAAAAAGATGAAATTGAGAAGTTTAAGCATCACTAAAGGCATTAAAAAAAGACATATTAGAGGCTACTGTTCTCTTTTGCTAAAAAAAAAAAAGAGCGATATTGATATATTAATTTGCAAGAAATGTCTAATAATCTTCTACTTATCTCTCATTAAAACTTGTATTTTTAAATTGTTCAATTTCTAGTGTTCGAGTTTCAAATGAACTTGGGATGGGGCATCCCAGAGCAGCAAAATACTCAGTCTATGTGACTGTATCTGAGTCTCTTATGCTTGGGATTCTTTTCTTGGTTGGCATATTGATAGCCAGAAAGTACATAGCCTTAGTTTTCACTACCAGCAAGATTCTTCAAGAAGCTGTTGCTAGCCTCGCTTACTTACTTGCCATAACTATGGTTCTTAATAGTGTTCAACCAGTGATCTCAGGTACGTTGATTGTACAAAATATAATGAGCATTTTCCGCATCTTTTCTCCCTACTACAAAAATGGTATCTAGTAGCACACATTTGATAGTAATTATTATCGGGATTGCTCATGTTTCTGGAATCGTTCTTATTATAGGGGTTGCTGTGGGAGCAGGATGGCAAACACTAGTTGCTTACATCAATGTGGGTTGTTATTATGTTATTGGGCTTCCTCTGGGATACCTCCTTGGATACAAAGCAAATTGGGGAGTTAAGGTAATTTTTTGAGAAAAACCACCTGCAAAAGACGTATCAACTTAATAATAGTTAGGTCCCGGAATTTGTTTAGGTTCCAAAAATTTACTAAAAGACCCGTTATAAAATATTGATTCAAACTCATGTATGTGAAAATCTTATAAGTTTCATTGGTCAATCCTAGAAATTTGCAGCTCAAACTCCCATGTTTGCAACTTCCTAAATTGATGTTTGTAACTCATCTATCATCAAACTTTTAGGGATCAAAATGTTATTAAATTAAACTTATGGGAATAAATTGTCACTTTATATATATATATATATATATTTTTTTTTTTTTTGTGCCAGTTTCTATCATGAACACTGTTTTCTTTTTCGATAACACAGTTTCCATTCAAAGCATATTTAGCGAAGGACATTTAATCAGTACTTTCCCATTAGGTTTTTCAAAGCAGAATAAGATTGGAAGGCAAAATGAGGAAGATATGTTTTGGGCGATGAATTTGATGTGTTATATTAATTGTTTGATTAATGTTCAGGGACTTTGGGGTGGCATGATACTTGGAATTGTGCTGCAATCCTTGATTCTCTTGTTTATTCTCTATAAAACCAATTGGAGCAAGGAGGTAATTAAGTGATGATTTTGATAGTATTCCTGTGGATAAAATTTTATGATTTAAATTCTTTGAAATCTGTAAATTTGTGTGAATTTTATTTTTTTAAAAAAATTATATTTATATTTTATAAAAATTAATAAAATGAAAAATATTAAAAAAGATAAACTGTATAAAAATTTACAGATTTCAACTTTAAAAAAAATTAAATCTAAATTTTAAATATAAAAATGTAGTATAAAGGCGTAATAATTAGTACTATTAAAATAGCATATATTCTATGCCATCACTTGCAGGTTCAGCAATCAACTGAACGCGTGAAAAAATGGGGAGGACAGGAGATAGCGGCTAACATAGCTGACATGACTGAAGAAGATCAAATTTAAAACATGCACTGGGGCATTTTCTACATGTTAAAACATGACTGCATTAATTTGTATTGTACCTTTACAATGATGTTGATGATGCCACTTTTCTTCCTATCCATTCTGCCAAGTCTAGGGTGCAGAAATTTTGCTGGTTTTCTTCATCTTTATCTTAATAAAAATTAAAAAAAGACAAGAACGTTTTTTTGAGTTATATCAATAATATTTTATTCTCTCAAAATACTATAATTTTTTTAAAATTTTTAAGAATTTTTCTATCATAAAAAAATTAATATAAATGATTAAATTATTCTTAATTTAAATATCGATTGCCATTTATAAGTTGTATTTTAATATTTACAATTTTTCTTCTTAAAATCATAAAAATTCAATAGTAATTTTCAAGTTCGCTTTTCAATCACAATATTTCTTAACTGTTACAAATATTAATTGCTATTCACAAGTTTTATTTTAAAATTCATAAATTTTCTTCTTAAAATTACAAGAATTTAACAGCAATTCACAAATTTACATTTGAAATCTTGATATTCCAAAAGCATTACAAATATCAATTGTCATTCATAAGTTTTATTTTAAAATTTACAACTTTTCTTGTTAAAATTGCAAGAATTCACAAGTTTGCATTTGAAGTTTTGATATTCCTCAAGTACTGTAAATATTAAATATCACTTGTAAATTAAATTTGTTTATTAGGCAATCAATAACATTACTTGTTAATTTGTTGCCTTTACTTGTTAATTTACTAACATCAGTTGTAAATTAGAAGGCGTACTTATCTATAATTTATAAGTAAAGTTATCAATTTAACAATCAATTATGCTAATTATAATTGAAAAATAATGTCAAGTATTATATAATTATTGACATGTTAACTCAAGTAATTTACAACTCATATTTGTACATTAACAAGTGGATTAAGGAAATTAAACAATTTTGCATAATAAGTAAAAAGTAATTTGGTCTTTTGACTGTCAAAATTCTTTTGACTTTTCTCTCCTGAACTAAACTAAAATTTTAAAATTTGTTTGGACCCACCTGAAATTAATTCTCTACAGTGTTCTATAATTGAAATTCTCCCTAAATAATTTTACTCCATTTTGAAGGTTACATATAACTTCCTAAATTGTTAAAATTTAAAATTTCATTAATCAGTGAGTAATTTAGTCAATTAGAGTATTATTTTGAGTTACTCACATTCCTGAATCGTTAATAGACTTGTTGGGATTTTGTTAAACCTTTGAATCAGGCTAGGAAGGGTATTGGGCTAACAGGCCCTAGTGTGTAGAACAGCACACTGTGCCATCTGCCGCCATCTGCCACAACACAAGCATTTTGTGTTGTGGAGGACATGTGTTTCTAAAGACAAATCAGAAGCAAAAATTTATCTAAAATAGAAGGAAGAAGTGAAGAAAATGTGAGGGGCAATGGATGAACTTGTTGGGGCTGTTAGGGACTAGATTCTTCAGCACTTTAAAGAGTTTTTGAGCTAGATTCAAACTATGTAAACTTCCCCTACCTCGCTTCTATCTCCTTATTTGAATTTTTTAGAGTTTGGATGTTAGGAGATGATGATTTTCTCTTGGAATGTTTTGTCTAAACCCATTGAGTTTGTTAAAATTATTGGGAGTTAATTTAATTTTCTATACCTATCTCTAGTGATTTTATGATATTTTGGAGTTGGTTCCTGGGTTTTGGATGAACTACAGGGTAAATTTGGGAATTTAAGGGCAATGTGAGCTCTGATATAATGTTGTAAGAGTATATGGAAGCTAAATGAAGTTAATAGAATATTGTTAGAGTGTTAGATTGGTCAACGATAAAAGTTTAACATTATAAGTAGCTAAATTGAGTTAAATGATGATTATGTTACAACCAATAATTGATGATTAACATTTAATTATATAGATTTTAGTTTCTTGCAACCCCTTTGAGCTTTGTGGAGGCTTGTGAAGCTTGGGTATTCCACAAGAAACCCTTTTCGATAACAAAAGAGTATAGATAATTGGATAATTTACTCTACTTATTGTCATGTTAAACCATTGATGAGATTTTATGAAAATAATAGTTATGTATTATATGTGTAAGCATGTGGATGTGTTAGACGGTTTTAGAAACATGTGTGAAGTGGGGAAAATAGTTTTGAAAACAATACTTGGTTTATATGCTTTTATGTATTCATGTATTTAAATTTGTTAACTCAATATATGACAATGGCAATATGAGCATGATGATTGTGATGTGATAATGGAATATGCATGATGTATGAATGGGAATATGTAAGGGTGTTCAGTTGCCAGCATTGAGAAGGTTTAGATGTGTAACATCCCCAAGTTTCTAATTTGAAAACCTAATTGCTAGTCAAGAGTAAATTAATAATTAATAAATTAGTAGATTAATTAAGTTAATCATATTTTCAAGTTGTTAATTGACATTTTGGATTATAAATAGCTCTAAGATTGAGCTAGGGTAAAAGCTGGATAAGATCGGGTTGGAACCGGTGAGTAAAAGTGAGACTTTGCTCACTGTACCATATATCACAGCTTGTGCACAAAGGCTACTATACATGGCACATTTTAAATAGCATAAGGTCATAACTCAGCTCAAAAAGTCAATTTTGAAGTTAAGTTTTTGGGGGGAGCTCAAAGGAGAAGTTAAAAACATATGCTAGGGCTTGAAAATTTAAGTATTTGAGAGCTATTTTTGACCTCCAATCTTTTAGGTAAGCTCCATAGCTCTCTCCTCTACCTTTCTAGCTCATTTTTTTGGGTTTTGAAGAATGGGTAAACGAGTTCTAAGTTGGAGAAGGGTTTAACTCCAACCCTAATGCTTGCATGTGACTTTGGAAGTTTAATTTGAGTTCTCCTATCTTAAATAAGTGTTAATGTGAAGCTCAGTTGTTGTTTGGAAGGAGTTGGAAGAACCCTAGCTTGAGATTTAAAGTTATGAAGCTATGGGAGCTAATTATGAGTGTGGGCTTGCTTGTTAGTTGTTAAATGAAGAAATGTGAATTTTTTGTAGCTTCAAATAGCTCAATAATAGAAGTCAAGGAGTAGATAGCTAAATTTAGCTAAACTTAGCTAATGAGTACTGATGTTAAGTTTGAAAACTAACATATATTGCTTTATATTGTAGATTTTTGTAGTTAAGACCTCGTAGAGAATAAGAAAGCAATAGGAGCACATGTGGATCACGAGTAACCTTTTTGTGTAAGAAAGGTTGAGGTAATAGGATGCTTTAAACTATGTATTATCTTGCAAAATTGTTTGCAAGTTGTTTGTGAAAATATCTAATAGATTGTGTATATATATATATATATATGTATGTTTTAAAACTGTTAGAGTGGGAAAAAGAAGTGATTTTTTTAAAATAAATCAATAAATAAAGTGATGCATGTCTAAATTATATTTTTAATGAGAGTAAAATTATTAATTAAGGCATGGTTATTAAATTAGCCCTAGAGCATGTTTACCTTATATACTATAGTGATGTGATTTGTAAATGCATAATGATTGTGGTATATTAATAATGCATGATGTGATGATTGTGGTGAAAATCATGACACAAGGATAGGAGTTCTCCCAAGAGAGAAGTGGTAATAATATCCATATGGTCAAATTGTTCTATTGACATATGAGCAGTTATACTATTCACTTTGTATCACTGAAGAGGTAATAATATCAATTGGACTTGATTCAAGCTAATTAGTGATATAAATTTTCATATTTGAGCACTTAGATGACCTGTATTAGTTATAAAGTCTGACTTTTTTACATTTGGGCATCCATATTTTACATATAATGTCGGATCATAATGAATCTTATACTACTAGTTAGATTATTGAACAAACTTCACATGAGCACTTGAATCACTCCAATCAAACATCAGATGTGAAAATGGCACATGTTTGAAATTTGCCTTAAAAAGCTGCGGTGACAACATTTTGATATCATGATAGGGGCATGTGAGCCACAACATGTTGTGCATGTTAGATAGGAAGGCCCAACGAAAGATTAAAATTTTAAAGTCTCTATCCTGATATGGACCGAACGAACTCGTTTAAGTCAAGGTGGATAGAAGAGTTCATTTTAATTCTTCAAACTTGGCGCACATTCTCTTTAAGAGTATGGATCTTAGGAGCTGACAACGTAGATCTGCTCCCTCTATCGGTATCCACATGAACAGCTCTCTAACTCGAATAATGTGCTAGGGCTCCCAGTGTCTATTCTTCTGTGAACGTTAGTTTTTTTTTCTATAGGGTGTTTCATGACTCTCAAAGTGTTTTTGCCATCAGAACTTTTCTAACTCTCTCATTCTTAATCAAGGACGTCCCTATCTATATATATTATATAGATGAGGGTTTTCGTCTTCCACTTAAAAGGCCCACAAAAATATAATTAAATTTATCTTATAAATTTAATCCATGATGTCACATCTAATTCGAATTTATCTTATAAATTTAAATTATAAAACTGACATGATATTCTCTCATATCATGTTAGTTATTAAATTTAATCTATCATATAAAATTAAATTTAAAACTAACATAATATAATATAATATAATATAATATAATATAATATATCACATATACATATTATATTATATATATATGAATATATATATATATACACATATATATTTCAAATATATATATATATATAATTATATTTTGAATTATATATATATATATTTATTAAATAAATATTCAAATATACATATATAATTCATTCACCCTATATTATATTCATTGAATCTAGACATATTCCAGATTCAATAAACTTGGACATTATAGCTCGAGTTGGGTCATTCTTGCGTGCGACCCTGTAGGGTCCTATGAAATTGGCAGTAAGCTAATTACACTATTAGCCCACAAGTCACAAGTGGCCTCTAGCAAGACATTGCAACTACCTAATTCACATAGGGATCGATGATTCGATGTTACCTATCATACAACCATATCACATTCCTTTTGTCACGTGATATTTCAATCAAGTATGAGACATGAAATTGTCATTCTCCTTTACCTGATTGTTACTTTCTCGATCTCTAAGTAGACTGACAGTAACAATGGAAAAACCCTTTCCATTATAGTATGGCTATACATTTTCT